AAGACTTATTAGTGGTTGAAAAGACTCAGCATTATCAACCAGTTATTAGGTTTAGTTTATCCAGATAGGCCTAGGATGGTTTGGATCAGCGTTTCCTAACCGGGTGTTAACGTTTACCCCTAGTGGTCCTCGCGTGCATTGCAAGGAGTACATGAAAATATTTAGTTTCTTAGGTAGTAAAATAAAATAGGGTTGGGATCTGTTTTGCTTTGTGAGGACCAAAAATTACGCAAGCTTTCATAAACCAAAAAGTATGTTTTTCTTATATGTTCGAGTTCTCCTTCAGCTTTGACACATCAAAACCAAGCAGAGGAACAGACTGGATGTAGAGAACAGCTTGGGATCTGCTGTTTTTCCACACTGAACTGAGTATCGGAGCTCATCAAAGCAGCTCAGATGTTTTGATGAAAACAAAGTAAAACTATTTAATTCAGTCTATAACTTTCGATTCCTTACTAACTTCCTGCAACATATTTAAGTTGTTTTTTATTTTAGATGGAAGGCATAAAATGCCTAAGAGTTAAATGCTTAAATCAAAAGATTAAGCAAAATAATGTTTACATAATAATTAGTTATTGTACGCTTTACTTTTGTAAAATCATCAATACTTTTGACTCAGAGGTACTCATTGTAAGACAAAATGCCCAAAAGGGGAACACAAGACAAAAAAGGTTGGGAAACACTGGTTTAGATAAACATGGCCTTCATTAAATGATAATACACATGATGAAAAAGCAGCAATTATACAGTTTTATTGACATGGAGAAATGAGTCTCCGACGCTGGCAGAAGGCATTGATGCTGAACGCAGTTCCACCTGAGCAGGTACATGTGGGTTTGACACGTCTATCTCCTTGGTATCTAACACTGGTGGGATGGAGGCTGAAGAAGGGAATCCAGTGAGATGAAGGTGGAAAAATTACGTCCAGGAGGAAGGGACGACGCCCTGTATGGTGATTGGAATACAAGAAGCCGAGTTGGTGAGCTTAAAGGCTGGAGCAAACGCTCATGATGAGACTGGCTGCAGTTTACAACCATAAAAATTTAATTTGCTTCAAGGCGTTTAAAAAAAAAAAATAAAAAAATTATAATAATAGTTTTTCATTTTTAAGGTTTTCGTTTTTCCCCAAATATCCACAAACATTGATAATTTTGAGCTTTTATGCAAGTTAGAAAATATTTTCCAGTGTTTTGTCAGTCTAAAAAACAAAAACAAAAAAAAAGAAAAATACCTCTTTTGGCTTGCATTTTAAACTTTTCCTTTGAAATGAGATTCAAAAAACAATAGTGCAATTTTAGAGACTAAAAATTTTATAAATTTTTCAGGAAAATTTATAGAGTATAGAAAAATATAAAAATGTACTCTTCATATGTTTTATTTGATGTGATAAAATTTAGACTGGTTGTTAACAGTTTTTTCTTTAACATGTATTTAGACAGCAGCACCAAGCTATACTATTTCAACTTTATAGCTAACATTAGAAAAGAAAACATTTTGTTTAGATCTTTGAGTATATTCTTGACAAACTTAATCTTCAGTTGAGTTCTTACTTGAAGAATTAACAACTAAATCTTTGAGTTTATAAACAAGCAAAGAGACAAACTGTAAATATTTTATTCATTTTATTTTTGTGGAAAATCCAGACAAGCACAACTGACAGCTGGAAAACATAAAAGCTGTCCTACAAGCTGAAGAGACATGATATGCCTCACATTTGATGTAGAAAATAACACCAGACACATTTCCATTTATATGATAACATCTGGCATTCAGAGCACAGCTGGAGCAGTCTGACTAGGAGCACAGATGCTCCATCCTGTCAGTAGGCGGAGGAGGTGATAGATGTTTGTTCAGTTCAGATCCATTTAAAAGCTTAAACACTGAAAACGTCGGACAGGAGGAACTGTGTCTATTATAAACATGGCAACCTGAACCTCATAGAAGAAGACTAATTGAAAGGATGTTTTATACTGCAAAACCATTTATAAACCCAGTATTATTTAGCTCAGAATTCCAATTTGCTGAAGGTGTGCCCTAATTAAAACAAAGGGAACATTTTCTTTGTGAGTCTTTGGACTCTTTTTACTGTAACAGGTCAGTTATGAATTAAGAGTTTTTAAAAAGAGGGTGCTAAACCGGCTCCTTTGTGTCTGGAGACACAGCCTTATCAACATTATTGGATCAGATAAACCAGAGTGTCTCCAATGTCTACAGTAAGGCCGTTGTCAGCCAGAGTGACCTTCTTCTCAGCCAGATTTATGTTGAACACAGATTTGCTAGAGATGGGCAGCTTCCCTTTTTCTTCCTGTCCCAGGACAGGCACCCGGCGGGGGCCTAGAACGGGGTCCTCGTACCGCATCAGCTTCACTCTGGAAAGATCTAACAAATGAGGAAAAAAAGACGACACGAAGGTTAAAGAAAGGAAGTGAGATGCAATAGAAGGTGAATGTAAATGGGGTCAAATAGTGACTGGAAGAATGTAATTTCAATTCATTAGGACTATATCTTTTTCTTCTTAGAGTCTTTAATTGGTGTGCATTACCAGATTAAAGATCACAAGAGTCTTGCTTAAAAATCATGACAAAAAAAATAAACGTCAGTTGCAAAAACAAAGTGTGGTATCATCCCTTAAAAAACTAAGTAAATAAGTAGTGCTTTTAATGCATCTGCTTTTTTACCTAAATACCAGTTAGATGAGCTGTTTCTTAACTTATTAGTATTCTGTTAAGATTTATGAACAATTTGTTATTTTAAAAACAATACGTACAAGAAATTATGAGATTTATCTGACAATCATTCATCATTTTACATATCTAAGAGGTGGGAAAGTGATGGAGCATAAAGAGAGACCAGCTGGAAAGCAACCATGTTTGTTTTCTCCAAGTCTGACCTGCAGATTCGGATTTTGACCCATTCAGATTTCCTGACGCTTTTAAATAAATTCATTTTTTTGTTCATTTGTTTTACACTCAACCTGCCAATCAAGCATCAAAGGCTGAATTTCTAATCTTTATCAATAAATCAAAGTGAGTACTTTTGTCCAACACACATATGTACCGGATTTAGTCATAAAGGCTGTTATCTGCAGTCACCGGCAGGTTGGTGGTTAAGATTAAATTACAAAACAAACTAATGCGGTACAATAACATTTCCTTCAGTCCGTATGTTATTCTAGCTTCAATTGCCCTAATCTAACTTAATTTGTAACAGCAGGACTTTCAAGCTGTAGGCGCATCTCAGGGGTAATTACAGCAATCAGCATGCATCTAACTGCAGTTTGGATTGCAAAAGGTCAAAAGAGTAGTGAATGGGAAAGTCTGTTTTCTGAATTTCTTTACTGGCAGATGGCAAAGGCTGGTTAAAAAAAAAAGAAAAAAAAAGACATCTCCAAGATAGATTTGTATACAACATGTCTATGAATCCACTTAGCTACTAGGAAAAGTGATAAAAAATAAAATGGGAATCAACTGCGTTGTGACTCACTGGTTTTAGAGATTATTCTAAATGTTTTTCCTTTCCCTGAATAATATGTGCTACTAACCTTTTATTAGCCGGTTGACTTTGGCTAGCCGACGTACGATGCTGTCTTTGCTGTCCCCCTGTCTGATGTCAACCTTTGTAGAAAACAGGCCGTTGGACGGTTGAGGATTGATCAAGGTAAGGGACACTCCAGGCTTTGAAGGCAAAAAATTTATTTTTTTTTATTATTTTGTTTATCACTGCAATAGAAAAATTTTAATATAACATTATGTAATAACTATTTTGAAAGTATACCTCTGATCTAAAGATACTGAATGGTTTCCCAGGGCAACAGTCCTCCTTCACTTTGTCATCAGCCTCTGATGCAAACAACACATCGATTTGCTCCAACTATTCGAGGGAAAAAACAGGAGAAAACATGAAACTGGAACTAAATCCAGTGGAGAGCCAGACTTAATGCTAAACCTTACACCAGAAAATGTAATATTTTGTGTATTTTGGAGAGGCAACAGCAATTCAAAGATATGCTATTTGAAAACTGGTATGCTGAGAAAGGATGTAAGAAAAAAAAAGTTTAAAAAAAAAAAGGCATGTAATTAGTTTTTTATACCAAGGATTTTTCTTTTCTTCTCAGTAGGCTTTATAAAAGGAATTTGGTCTATGCATTTTACCTTACTTTACCAAGGTACACAGGCTGGAAGCAATCTAAGGCCACTTTATTGCCTATGAAGCAACAGCTCCCAAAGGATCTGAGTTCAGCAGAAGCTGTTTTATGGAGTCTATCACCGCCTCTCAGCTGAAGATCCTTTTTAAAGTAAAGTATCACTGACCCTCATCTAATTACGGATTTGTGCAAGTTTAAAATTTAGACTTTTGTTTTGATTTGAAATAATTTAGGTTTTTATTTAGATGGGTGAGTATTCACTAGTTGTAAAAAGCTTTGTCCAGAGTTGTGGGTGCATTTATTTGATCATTTTAAGCCTTTTCAGGGAGAAAACTGATTGTTTAAAAGATTAGGAATACAGACAATCATTTAATCATTGAAGCTTTTTGGAAGGAGTTTTGTTTAAGTTTGATCTAAGGTGTTATGTGCTACAGACCTCCAGAGAATTAGTCAAGTAGACCAGGTTCTCCATGAGAACTGCCCTCTCATCAAACTCCAGCTCTAGATCCAAAACCCTGGGCCCGTTCTTCTCCAGGTTTTCCTAAAAAAAAAAAAAAAAACACAAAGTCAGGGAAATACTAAGCACTATTGCAACTAAACAAAATGTGATTTTGTAATTCACTTCCATGTTAAATCTGGCTTCAAGGGATAAGGTAAAGGTTGTTAAAGCAAAAAGTGATTAAATTAGATTGTTCTTCAATCTGCAAGATCAGCTTAAAAGATAAAAACCATAAGGGAGAACATGAAGAAGTTATTCATAATCAAAAGAGGTTCATTTAAGGTGGAAACTATTCAAAAAGACTAAAAGAAGTGACTTAAAAGAAAAGAAATGTCTTTGATCGCTATTATTAGCTGCTTTAGTCTAATATTTAAGAAAATGAATATATAAAAGCGATTTTGCTCTAAATAATTTACTTTAAAAATGCAGGAGTAACATGTATTTATTAAAATATATTTTATATGTAAATAAACTTAACTATAAATAAGATAAAGAAAACTATCGACTTTGATCAGATTGTAGTGGAGGTACCAAACCATTCTGTCAACTTTCAGGTAACTATATGTTATTTTTTACCCTCCAGGATGATATTGTTCTTTATTCTCCTCTGTCAATAAAATACATATTGTGGCAGTTGAGTGTGCAACCAGGGTTAATTTTCTGTTGGATTCAATCTATGAAAGAAGGTGCAGCACATTTGTTTCACATTATGTATCAAAAATATTGATGAAAAAAAAAGGGGATAAAAATCAGAATAGGAAGTTGGTATACACCAGGAAAAGTCTGTTATGGGCACCTCCAATTGGATTCTGAAGTAATAATTAATACCTTGATCATGGCGACAAATGGCATCACTCTCTTCATATACTTCTTCAGCTCAGGCAGGCCTCCCAGCTCGCTAGCTATAACTTTGTTGTCTGGAAGGATCCCATTGTTGCTCTGGTCAAAAAGACAAAGGCATGCTGCTAATTAAAACAAAATGTAACTTTAAAAGAAATAATTAGTAGGACAAATGAAAAGGCCGTATGAAGGGTTAAAAAAAAAAAAAAAAAGTCTTTGTTACCTTGTAGTGCTTGCCGAGCAGAGATAAGGCACTGTGCTGCCATGGAGGGTAGCTCTTTGCCACATAAATAGTGCAGTGGGACGGCTTGGCAGGGGGCTTCGAGTCACCTTTCTAAAGAATGAAACAATGCGTTTTAGACAAAGAGAACATTTGATAGTGATTGATTGATTCTTGTATATAAAACACTAGGTGGTCAGAATGTAAAAATAGCCTTTGATAAATATTTCAAATTACTTTTTGATTTCATTAACAGGGTGTGATCTATTATTTTTATTGACATGGCAGCTGCCAAGTCTACCTACAGATTGTACAAAATGTAAGTTTCTAAAACTGAGTTACAATGGGAAAAAAATAAACAAAAAAACAATTTAGATAAAGCTGCATAGCTATTTTGCCTTGAGAAAAAGGAAATGGCTGATATATTACACAAATTACAAGTAAGGATTTATTTACTTTATTAAACATGTGTACCTTTGACCAAAGATCAGATATGAATAAATATAAAAGATTAAAGACAGCCTTTCCTGTGCTTTTTCTATACTTTTCCAATCCTCCTGCAGTCAAGCCCCTCACCTAAAAAAAAAACATTTGCTTCAAATCGATAACAGTGGGCTAGCAACCAAAGATATTGTCCATTTTTAATATTGTCAATACTTGTTTAGTTTTGTATCTCTGCAAGTGAAATCTAGAATTTAAACTATCAACAGATAAACAAACTTTCCTATTGTTAACACAAGATTTAACAAAGAGTTTATCTAAAAGGAAAAAATATCAATAATCCACAACTGCTGCATCTCAGGGATGGCACACAAAGCGATGAATAACCAAACAAAGAAGCATTTCTTCCATTGTTATTTTGCTTCTAAAAACTTGTAACATACATGTGTTTAAAATTTTGGTAAAAATATGAAGAAATCTTATTTCTGAATACAAGAAGTTAAAAAAAAAAAGGTCTTCTCTA